AATAGATTAGTTTGTAATTTGTCAACGGGGTTTAGACAGAGACAATAGTGCCTATTTGGAGAAATATATAGACACTAGTACAGCTAGGGTACACCAGATTTTTTTTTAATGAATGATAATAGAATGGTAAACCCCGCCTGCGCTAACGGTATATGCTGGCGGCACACCAGCGAGGAATGATACGTGAGAATGAAAAGGCAGTTATAAGCCCATCGGTATAAATACACCTGGAATTAAGTACAATGGCTTCCGGGGGCCTACGTGGAGGTCGACCTGATAGGGTATATTGCTAGTGATGGGACTGGTAGTCCGTATCAGGACACTAGTTGAAGTTATATATTATAAATTATAATAATAATATCATATTTTTTTATATTTATAAAAACCGATCGATTGTGTGAAACGTGAGATCAAATGTGAAAACTATTTATGACTAAATATAGATGTAATTTGACTATATATTGATTGTATAAGGCTGTATGTTTTTCTAAAAGTAAATAAATAAGTAAATGAGCATATGAGCAAATGAGCACATTATCAAATGAGCAAATAAGCAAATGAGTAAATAAATAAGCAAATAAAATATGATTTATTAATAAAACAATAGATTCTATAACAATAAATCATTGATCAAGTAAGACAATCCGCACGATCTAGACCAATATGGCTGTAAACTATAAAAATGTCGCTATGACTTGCATAATTAATACCTTTATTTTATTAATCAAACCTGTTTATCATAGATTAGGTACTTAAAATAACTGCAATTTATACAATCAATACTACATATTGATATATGATATGGGTTTAAAAATATATTTATCTTATCATTTTATGTTTTTGGGTCAGGTCAGTTCCGGTTGTAGTTCGATCCGTTGGGATCCTTTGTGCTGCCCCCTGCTTGAGTCTATAATATTGTAGTATTTTGTATAGGATTTAAGTCAGGTATATTGTGATTTATTTCTTTATTTAACACTTTATTGCACCAATGTAACAGGACTTGTTGAAGGATTTGCTATAAGTATAGCGATCCTTTTTAAAGAATCTTTGGGTAGAAGAAATTAAAGATGAATTCGTAGGTGGCGCGTTAAAAAAATAAATGTAACGTTTAACATATGTAAATGAACAAAATGTATAATACACAATATACATATATAATTCTGAAGTGTTCATAATTGTGAAGAGATTCTATACCTCCTTCGTTATAATTAAATGCAATCGTGGGCAATTTTGTGCATTATTCTTGTATTTCTTGTTCATTTAATCTAGATTCATTAATTTGTCTTTGAATAATTATATCAATTAGTATGCGCAAAGTATTGTCAAGGTTTTGAATTTCCGTGAAGTGGACTAATTATAATGACGTTAGAATTAACATTTTTTTATAGAAATTATCATTATTGCCACATTAAAATATTATTAGCAGCTGAGTACTTATAGATTTCTGAAACTGATGCAAAGAATTTTTTACTTACATTACGATGGAGCATAAAACATTCTCTATCGTTTCCTTCTATTTTTCATTTCTTGACTGCTACTTCTTTACTTAGCTTATTATAATTAACTGATGGTTTATCTGATGGGTAGTGTAACTGTCATATAAATTAAAATTTTTTTTTGTAACACATGGCGATCATGCAGCTCACTTGATGGTAAGTGACTACCGCCGCCCATCATCATCCACAATACCAAAGACATTGCAGGTACGCTACCAGCCTATTAAAAAGGAATATGTTATTTTCTTGAAGGTTATAATAATTTTTATTTCAGACTTTTTGGTTCATTAAATATTTATTAGTAACAATATTCTTAAAAACTAATGTTAGTAAATTTACATACACATACACACACATACACACATACAATACATTAAGCAGTATACAGATAATCATGATATTGTATCGTTTTGGATAATACAATTTTAGAATGATGTAGTTGAAAATTATGTTCTTTTCTGAACAAATTGATCTAATTTATGTAAATTTATGAATACCGTTAGTATTAATTATATTGGATAACGTTTAATATCTGTATTATGTTAGCACTTCAACAAACCCTATCAATGTCTAGACAGTGATATCTTTAAATACCCAAAATTGTTTTTTTATGGTAGAACGAGCTTGCCTATCACTTGATTGTAAGAGCTTATTACAGCTAATTTACATATGTATATCAATAACCAAGAGTTTCCGATATATTTCCGACTTTTTAAAAATATTATGTGGCATTTTTTTTACAGGTTCCCAAGTCGAAACTTTCAACTTAGTTTTTACACTAAGTTGAAAGTTTCGATCCAATTTATTAAGTTCAACCATTTTTCGGGTCTCCAGATCGCTTTTCAATTAATTATACTATAAAAAGATCGCTATAAATTTGAAAATATCTAGTCTTCGAATGTCATTAAGCTTGACATAGTCGCTATCTGCCCTGTTCTAAGTTAAATTATTCATTTATATATATATATATATATATATATATATATATATATATATATATATATATATATATATATATATATATATATATATATATATATATATATACATATATAGGTCGCCCATTGTTTTCTCATTGTGATTATTTATTGTAATTATTTATATTTATAATAAGTTTACTATTGTAATCTTTTGGAGGAAAAAATAAAGATTATCTATCTATCTATCTATCTATATATTACAACTGTATTAGAGGTAGACTTACCAGAGGGAGATTTTGTACAAAAGTCGATTGCTTGGGTACCTCTCTCCCATTCGTGTTTCAATCGTGAAGCAGTTGTGTTTACATGGCTGTGTTTCGGTTTGAAAGATGGGATATGGCGTGAATTTACAGGGTAAAGAGGAATAACACCTGAGTCCTCAGGAATGGCAATACATGGGGGGTATCATGGGCGAAACAGTATACTCTGTTATGTCTATGCTACTGCTCCTGTTTATAGGCGACGGTTACCACTTTCTATCAGGTGGGCCGTCAGCTTGTTTGCCATTCTAAGTTGTATAAAAAAAAAGGTATTTACAATTTTTATGAACTCTATATAATGGCCTTTGCAATTGTTTTTAAAATGATCACGTGTAATTTTAATACTTATATTTAGAATGAAATTTTTATGTTTCTTGAACGTAGGATAACCTGCTAATAAAGTCTCCATGCTATTATAAAAATATATACGGATGAAAACAAATGTTAAGATTACATTTTCTTTTCAAATGACAAATTTGCGTATCAGTCTTTGATCCTATTCCTCGTAAATTTCGATTATGAGTTCTTAAATAAAATTTATACCGAAAAAGGTTCGGTTTAAGGTTTGTTAACAAAAAATAACTTCTGTAATGCCAAACTTCACTTTTTCACTTCTTCCTACCCTCTTTCCATGTCTATTTGGGGTCGGTGTAATATGATTTCTTTTTCCATTCATCTCTATTTACTCTCATCTTCATCTCTCTAATCACTTGCTTTCCGGCCATGTCATCTTTCACACAAGCCATTCAAAGAGAGTAGTTTAATGCTTAGTACTGATACGCTTGGTTTTCATGGGAGTTACTTTCGGTCTCTATCTATACGAGGTCTGTCCGGAAAGTTCGTATAAAAGTGTTCTGGAATGCGAGAAAGAGGAGTGGGAAGGCCAGGTAAGCGCAGGACCCCTTCCTTATGTCCCTAACAATGCTTCAGTTCTGGTCTGACCGCCGTGCGGTGCGAACTGGCTTGTCACGCCATCTGTGAAGTTACCTCTTAACGAAACCCCGTCGGCATGGAGCCCGCTTCCGTTGAAGAGCAGCGCGTCGTAATCAAGTTTCTCTCGAAACTCGGCAAGAATGGCCGTGAAATTTTTGCCGATCTCAGAACAGTTTATGGGGATGATGCTGTGAAGGAACCAACCGTCCACAAGTGGCTAAAAAGATTCAGAGAGGGCCGAAAAAGCGTTCAAGATGACCCACGTTCAGGACGTCCTTCCACTTCACATTCCGACGAAAACGTGGAAAGAATTCGAACTTGTGTTAATGGGGACCGTCGTTTAACGGTCAGACAGGTGGCTGAAGAGCTTAATTTGGGCAAAACCGTGGTCCACGAAATTCTAAGAAACGAACTTCAAATGAAAAAAATTTGCGCCAAGATCGTTCCGTGAGTTTTTGAGTAAAAATTCCATTACGGTGACCGAACACCCCCTATTCGCCGGATTTGGCCCCGTGTGACTTCTTCTTGTTCCCAAAAACCAAATTGGTACTTCGGGGGCGGCATTTGGGGGACATAAATGAGATAAAAAAAGCTACGACGGGGCAGCTGAGAAACCTACAACCAGAGGACTTTCAAGGAGCCTTCTCACAGTGGAAACGGCGTTGGCACAAGTGCATTATGTCACAGGGGGAGTACTTTGAAGGGGATAAAATTGATTTACCTGAATAATTGTAAAATAAAATTTTTAAAAAACTTTTATACGTACTTTCCGGACAAACCTCGTATTTAAGTATGCTTGTGATAATTTATTTTTCATGCGTGAAAATGGCATGGCAACCCCGCCTGCGCTAACGGGATACGCTGGCGGAGCACCAGTGAAGGGTAATAGGTGAGAATGAAAACAGGCCAGTTAGCCCATCATGATGAATTCATCAGGAATTATCCGTGATAGTTTCCAGGGGGAACCGCAAGGAGGTCGACCTGGTTGGGTATATTGCTAGCAATAGGATTCTCAGTCTCCATTACTAACAATCCCTTTCCCCCGCTTGTGATTTATTTTATATTCTTTAATTATAATGTTCTTAAACAATCATCTATCTGTTTAAAGTTTCCATTCAAATCTGCCAAGAAACGTTATGGCGAAATTTGGAGATGTGATTTATGTTTTACCACTGAACATAAACTATAATTAAAATTACGATTTCCTGCCAAGATTTACCAGGAGCATTGAAAGAGTCTTTTGAAATGAATGGCCGTTCGAGTTTTGCGATCGTAGTAAAACCGGCTCGAAGAGTGGGGGTTAACAAGCGACGGTTCACCATCGCAACGGACCAAACGATCGTCGCCCAGTTGTCATTCGACAGCGCTACGAGAAAGACGCGGCCTCACGACTGCGTGTTCTCAAAACTTTACGCGACTAACAACTGCAGTGTATTCGGAATTCGAACTGAGAGTGTTTAGTTGCAAGTGATAGTGGTTTAGTGATGACTATAGAATGGAACAGCCTACTCTCGTGTCTCCTGGACAAACGTTGATGTCAGAGGGAATGGAAGCGAGGGACCGGCTCGTTAAGGAGATAGTACTCCTAGCGCTTTTCTTGGTGTCCACGGCGGCAAACTCGTTGGCGCTGTTAGTTTTCTGTCGACGACCTGGACTTAGGACAATATCTAATCGGTAAGCTCTCAAAACTTTATACTTGCCTGGTAGTTTATAAGTTTTTGTAGTTAGTTTTTTATAAGTTTTAAATTATTATATACCAGGATATTTTAAAAATATAAATGGTTAATTACAATAACAATTAAATCAAGGTTGTAAATTTTATAAACGAATAAGAAATCAGTTAATACAACAACCAAATATCAACGCCTAATGAGTCTGTTTCGCAATATTTCACCTTTGCCTCTGTTCTACTCGAATATTTACATCTAAATTGCACACCGTCTGGTTATAATTTATTATATCCTGTTATAAAACTTAAAAGGAAATTCATTTTGAGACACAAAATTTCTAATAACGTTTCTTACAAAATGAACATTTTTTGGATGATACAAGTAACATTATTTCCAAACAGCCTTTTAAAACAAGACGACGTTAGCCCAAAACATCTATCGTTAGGAATAATCAAACAAAACCATTTGAAATCCGGTCACAACTTTGAAAGTTCATTTGTTGTCAGGTAGGTACACTATCCCCAAGTTGGGATAGAGCCAAAATGCACAGTATTATTAGACTATTAGTGTCTGTGAGTACAGCTACCTGAGATCTTTATGGTGGATTGTAAGACTTTCGATAATTTACGACTCAAGAAAAATACTGTTACTCGTGCTCGAAAGTTCACATTGTAATTTTATATATAATGCCAACAGAAATGTTTGATAAAGACAATATGTTGGATAATCCAGCTTTTCGCAATGTAAGTTGATGTTACGTTTCACCACATGATACTCTGTCTGCGGTTCATTCTGTTTTTTTTTTCGATGTTATTGAAATAAAAAAAAAATGTACCGAACATCGTAACGGTAGTCAGATGTAAGAGTGAACGCACTATTTCATTTAAATGTGTAACCATCTAAATTTTCTAAACAAATACAATACTAAAAATTTTAAAAATACCTAGAGAGATCTAATTTGAAGTAAAAAATATTAAAATCAAAAGCAATTATATTAAAACGAACCTTCAGTAAATACTTGTTAAAACCTATGAAGAAATCTAAACATTATTCGTGCACGATGAATTTTTATGGGAGTAATCGTAAAATTGCAATAATTTATGACTAGAAAGTTGTTTAATATAGTTTATGCTATTTACAAATATTTTGTAAATAGCAAATTAGACAATGTACAATTTAGAAATTTAGATAATGATCTGATTCAGTTTATTTGTAATACGGCTACCTTATTGCAATTTACAAAACTAACCGTAATGTGTAATTTAATAGCATTAACGTTGTTATTTGTAATACATGTTTTTGGCTTTATGGCCCAATTGATTACTTTTAGTAGTGGCAACAACTCGTGTTGTACAACACAACGTTTTACTTTAAACTCTTTACAATCCAAATGAGTTTGATCGTTTCTTCAGAACTCATTAACGGTCGCGCGTTGAACGGTTTGTTTATACTTAAACATCCTCTCTATTAGTAATTTTAATTTAATGTCTAAAATGCTTCTTGTAATCAGGCCATATATGGTCGTGTTCTGATTTACATTTATCTATCTTCCCGCCAAGTCATTTGCGAGGTAGATATAGAGCCAATGTCAAAGGTCTTTATCCATAATATACATTTCTTGCTTCATGTACTTTTATCCTGTTGCTGGACGATTTATATGCTTTATCCTGATATATATTATTTATTACTTAAATTTTATTTGCTTCAAATCTTTTTTGTTGAGATGTTCAGTGTGATAATACCTACAAAGCGGTTCTCACTGAACTAATGATTCATACAAATCTAGTTGACCCCAAATAATTGTACCCGACCAATTGTAAGAAACGCTGCAACAGTCTTGGACAAAGGTCTGTGTGAATTTGATTTGGCAATTGGCTGGGTTGTAGCAATATCCATTGTTGGAAAGTTTTAGGGCGAATGTAAAATTCCATTTTAAATCTTATCATTAATTTGATTTGGTGTTATCTTTTATTAAATTATACTTAATAATGAAGTAGTTTAATATAAGTTTAATATGTGTACCTAGACTGGCGGCGAAGCATGATATTCGTTTATATTATCTTGAATTATTTAATCAGTTACTATGCAAGCAGCAAACATCATTGTCATTGTCATATACAATGATAATTAATCACATAGTGATTCAATGAATAAGAATGAATATTGTAAATGGGGATATGACAATAAATAATGCTGTGTAGAACAGACATAATATAATTAGAAAATCCTTATCACGAAAAATATCTTTGTAACTATTAAGTACTAAGTCTACACATAAAGTTTATGATCTCAATACTGAGTCTAATTTTGAAGAATGATAATCTAAATTAGTACAAATGAATACGTCGATTCAATTGCTATGTTTTAAAATGTTATAAAGATTGTTGTTTGTATTGTGAAGAATTTATCGTTTATTTATCTCAAATGTCATTAAAATTTCTCTATTTTTTTCTCATATGTATGTGATGCAGAAAAATGTAATACTTATGACGTAACAATAAATTATCTAATCCACTCACTACTTGTAGAAAAGAACGTCATTTGTGTTCTTTTCTCACTATTATCATGTCAAGTTTCTTTTAAAATATTACTATATCATTATTTACATGATTTCCTTTCGTATGTTTACGTATTTTTCACAAATTGATCATAGTTGTTTGGTTACCATGTGAGCTTGTCTCTGCAACTGGGTGTTCATAAAGTTTGTTTTAACTGCCAATTGTTTAAACATTATACCTATTACTAGTCGTGCAACATTATAAAATTTATCTTCGTTAGTGCATACGTGTCTCATTATTTGCAAATTTTTTATTTTACTTCAGTTTTTCATCAGCGTCGTTAAAATATTTATTATCTAATTGCAAAATGCTGATATTAAAATTTATATAGATGACAATTTATAGACTAATCTTGTAAATAAACGAATAAATTAAAAAGAAAACGGCACGGAAAGTAACATAAATCTCAAACGCGAACGATAAATTTATCGAAAATAGTAATGAACTGCATAGTGGGTCAATAGCAGACGAGTGGAATAAACCGTTCAAGCTGTATATAATATCAGTAATGCTATGGACACACTATTGGCGTTTCTTGCTTAAACTAATCCTTACTGGCAGGGGGGAAAGGGATTGTTAGCAATGGAGATTGACAGCCCCATTGCTAGCAATATGTCCTATCAGGACAACCTCCACGTGGTTTCCCCTGGAAACCATCGTGAAAAATCTTTGTTGAATTCGTCACGATGGGCTAACTGACCTGCTTCATACTCACCTATCATCCTTCACTGGTGCCCCGCCGGTGTATACCGATAGCGCGGGTGGGGTTACCATTCTATTATCATCCATTAAAAAAAAATGCCAGTAAGGATTTACTGGCATGTTTATATTAATCTCGAAATAATAACACTAACAAAAAAAATCTAAAATTATAACGTAAAGTCCAAATACCCAAAGAGATTTATAAAAAATAAACAAAGACGTGATTCGAACTTTACTAAATAAACATTAAAATCTTATACAATGACGGTGCATTAATGAATGATGATTTTAGAATAAAGAATGACGTCATGTAGAATTACCTACTTTGTGAAAGACGAAGGTGACATCTTAGAAGATTTAAGTGCGTTGTAATTCGCGATTATTCTCCTTTTCAACCGACTTCAAGAAAGGTTTTCAATTTATTTGTATTTTTTTAATGTTTGAAAATTCTTTTTATATCTGAAAGGATACTCTTCTTTTTAAAGTTGATTAATAACGCACACCTTTATCAGGTTTAAATCGTTCGCAATATTAACTTCATTTTATTAAATTGTGAATAGTAAGTATCCTATTTTAATCTCACAGTTATAAGTACAGATAGTGTTTACTATCATAAAAACCTTGTTGCCAGCTTTGGCATAGTGAAGTGATAGTAGAAACTTATTTCCTGGAATAAATAAAGTTGTTGTTAACCTTGAAAAATGAGAGTTTAGTGCTGGACCAATTATAATCTTGCATTTTGTTTTGGATTTGACTCGGTATGTACTTTGTTATAATGTTAAAGAATTTTATGTACTCAATTAATTTATTATCAAACTAGTGTTTTATTAAAACACCTTGGTCTTGCATGCTATTTTGAAAACAAAGTACTTAGGCGACGCCGTGGAAATTACCAGCTAATGGTGTACTGTCAGCTGGTAATTTAAAATATATAAATTTATATAATTGTTTTTTTTTAACTCGGTTAATAAACAAACTTTTCCTATTTATAATATTAGTTTGCATTAAATATTAGTCAGACATCATTACAGTAAAAATTAACACCGTTTAAATTTTACTGGTTGTATGAATTTATTAATGTGTATTTAATTGTATTTAATTAATTAACATTGTTTATACACAGTTGTAATCGATGTTGTAATTTGGAAGAAATCAAATTATTAATTAATTATTGTATGTTAATATTTTATTTTACGAAAACAATTCATATACTGCAGTCGTAGTGGTACTGTAAACCTATTTTAAATATCAGCGTGTTTTGTCTCTGTCTAATGTATTAAAAATTAATCTTAAAAGAAGAAGACAAATCAGTTCAATAGCGTTTATGAGTATTAACTCCACATTCTTAACAATTGCATAATATATACTAATATACAAAACTGAAGAGTTTGTTTGTTTGAATGTCTTTGAAACTACCAGCCGGATTTGATTAATTCTTTTTTGCATTCATTACCTCATTTCTTGAGGAAGGCTATTCAAAACCAGGTCGAAATCGCGGGATATAACTAGCAATAAATAAATGGTACGATAATAATACTATGAAGAATTAACTGGTGATCTCATAGCTTTTACTATATATGTTTATATATATGCAAACATCTTATAATCTAATCATTTTACTGCTTTCACAATCATTTTATTAAACATTTTGTTATTGGTCTTTAAATATTTATAGGATGTTGTAACTTAAAAGGAAAATATTACTTTTATAGGATCATTTTATTGTCTGTCTATCAAAACCCAT